ACAGAATCAATCAGTCAGGTTAGGTGGGAGGACTTTGGATCGCGTAATTACACAGCAATGATATCCTCGCCCAAAGTAACAAACACATCCACCCAACTGACGTTGTCGGCGTCCCTATCCTGCGTCTCCGCCATCTTCTCCCAGATAAGCTGAATCAAGGCGCATTGCTTATCGATATTGGCAAGATTGTATTGCTTGACTTGTTCCCACCATTCCATGCATGAGGGCCGTTTCGAAGGTGTTGCTTCGCATGAAGCAATAAACATGGGCCACGTAATGGGCGCCATCCTGTTCGACGACACGAGTTCAGGACGAAGTTTGAAGTCTTCCATGGCGCGCATGTGTTCCAGTACAAGATCTACTTCCTCGACAAGATCAACAGCAGTAAAACATTGAATCCGCCGATAGTAGTATATGAGAGCGGCATGATACCAAGCACATGTATGGTGGTTCAGTACCTCTCTCATCAGATCGTCGCCTGCCGGAGCCAAAGCTAGTTCGCCATCTGCGGAGCTCCACGAGAGCAGCCGTTCCCCTAGCGCTTCGCAGGCTTCAAGGAGATCCTCTGGAGGGTGCTTTTGTTCCTGGCCGCGGTACCAAGCCAATTGCTCCGCATATCGACATGTGTCTTGGATAGCTGCTGCAATGGCTGGTGAGATGCCATACATGTACTCATAGCAGGATGCAGACTCTATCGCAAGATCCTTGGAGGGCTTGTCTTCGGTCTCGGAAGCGGTCCATAGTGTTGAAGAGTTCCGAAAGGATGTTGTTCGAGCCATGAGACCTAGAAAGGCAGCGATTTCATGGAGCTGTCGTGTAGCTGCACCAAGGACTGTCCACCGGCTGCGAGACCTCCGCAATTCCTTGGTTGCCCCGAGGTGCACAACGTAATCATCGCCAGCTCCGGAGATGACCTATCGGGCATCAGTGTCATTGAATTGTGCGAAACAACGCGGAAGGGATTTGTGTCTAAGACTCACTCCAATGGTGATGAGTGACAGCACGGCCATTAGTATCAGCCTGTAAAGAGGTCTTGGTGCGTGGGATGCAACGGAAGATCTCAAGAGGCAAATAGCATGGTATCTATGATGGGCACCCATCTGCTTGTACTTATCGGAAGCTTTGTTGCAGTTCCATCGGTGGAAGGCAGCTGAAGCTATTATTGAATGGTAGAGCGCTGTCTGAACCACATCAATAGCTTCCGTCCCTCCTGATGCGTGCGACTTGGCTCCTTCGAGTGCGGAAGGAAAGTAAAGTTCACGGTAAGGGTTGTTGGTATGGACAATAGGCTGCAGAAGGTCTGCAACATGCAGCCCGTAATGATGTATCAAGACGTCAACTTCATTGTCGTGCGAAAAGGTGAATCGAACATGCTGCAGCAGCGGAAGACATTCCAAGGGATGCACCACAAGATTTGTAGCGGCGGCAGCGTCTCCAGTTGGACTGTGAGGGTTGCTGGACCGTGGTGAGGAGGACGTTGTAGAAGCGGTAGTTTCAGATACGCTCTCCCCCAAAGAGTCTTGGTTCAAGGGAACGGGGGACTCATCAGAGTACGCAGGGAGCGGACTCTCCTGCTGGCTCTCCAGCACCGCTGAGAGGGCCCGAGGGGATACGAGTGACAAATTTGGGTGCTCAGGTTCTCTGATCAGACCCGGGAAGGTAGAGAAGGGGCCTTGTGCAGACGCAACACCTAGGGCGACATCATTGTCGAGGTCCAGGAGGAAACGCTTGATTTGCCCCATGTGATATCGATGACTATTACCACGATCTGGTAGATTGTCAGCCAACAGGCCCCCTAGACGGCGCCCTCCCGATATAGGGTAGGTCAATCAAGTACCATTTCCAATTGTTCTTCGGCCTTGGCCGCTGTGTTTAGAGGGCGTCTGGAGCTCCACAACGGGGTCTGTCATCCACTTGAGCTTGATGTCGTAGCCACCGCATACGCTGCCTCTCAGTTCGCAGTTCTGGCAGCCTGACGGTCGCTCATCGCATCGGACCTTTCGTGCTTTGCAAGTCCAGCAACTGAGCCGGTGGTGAGCACAGGCGTATTCCGCAACAGCGAGGACTTGGGCACTTCAAACATACCCCGTAAATGTGATGGATCGCCGTTTCGGTACGGAGTGCATAGCTGACGGTCACTTTTGGCAGCAATTCGCTTTTGTTCAGCTGCGTGTCAAAGGTTGGGCATTGGAACTCACACGGGACAATGGATGCAGGTGTTGCCGTCGGCGACCTATTAGTTGCCTTACTAATCCATACCTAGCCCGCCTAAGGCATTTGAAACTGCGTCAGATTGATGTACAAAATTTGCAGCTAATTGCCTTCCTATCCTGATTGATTAGGTCGGCACCACGGAATCTAAGGTACCGTGTAATGATAGATGTGGGATGGATGGTGGTCTCGGTGGAAAAAGCTATAATAGAGCTAGGTACGTGCGCCTACCTATTTGGATACTAGGCCGGCTCGGACCTACCTGCCTTACACGACAGACTCGCAACATATTTGGAAAGCGGGGCAAACTTTTCCTATCATACCATGTGGCATGCAGGGTTGTGGCTTGCCCCTGACCGATCGCCTAGCTCTATGTAGTAAACTTAGCCTGAGCAGGGGCAGGGGTGTGGGAAAAGCTGACGTAACAACCCAACTTCTGGGGACAACCATTTGAGCAACTTCAACCACTGCAAGACGCCTGTGTTACGGTCGAACGGGGCTAGAACACTACATACGGCCCAGCCGGCCCTGAACTGCTCAGAGCACGTTACACTGACGTGCTAATTTGCGACGTAAACAAAAGGACACCCGCGAGCCTTCGACGTCTGATTCTCACAGGCCAAGCATCAACTTCGACAGGCTGTGAAATGTCTATTATTTGTGGAAATCTTCCTGGGATAACGCCCTGTGCAGCTTTCTCTCACTACCTATGATATCTCACAATTCGTCCTTTTCATTGCCATGAATCGGTGTGTTAAATTGCTTCGTCCATGACTCGGTTCTTAGCGGCTTCTCCAATCCTCGCTCTTCCATACCCTTCAATACCACGGTGGAGAGCATTTCGTAGATGACTTGTGCTGCTGCAAGTGCTGTTTCTTCGCCTCTGCCGTCGAAGGCGGGACTAACCTCAACAACCTCCGCGCCAACGATATTGAGCCCCCCCACGCCTCGAATGATCTGAAGCAGCTCCCTGGTGGTCCAACCCCCAGGCTCTGGTGTCCCCGTGCCCGGGGCGAGGCCGGGGTCGATGACGTCGATATCAACTGACATGTAGACAGGTATCTCGGTACCCATTCGCTTCATTATACCGTCAATGATCCCTTGCGCGCCGACTAAGTCTATGTCATCTGCCTCGATCCTCATGAAACCCTGCCGCGAGTCGTCTTCGTAGTCACTGAAATCATCCCCAGCTAGCCTGCTGCGAAGACCACAGTGAACCGAGCTTCCATTGCGGATCAGCCCCTCGAAACTGGCAATCCAGAACATAGTACCGTGAGTGAAATCGGACTTGGGGGCCTCCTGGCCTGTCGTCCAGGTGCTGGGGTATTTGTTCGGATGCAGAGTGTCCATGTGAGCGTCAAAGTGAAGCACCGCGATAGGCTCCTGGTATGCTTTGCGCAGCGTCCGCAAGGCGGGGAGAGCTACGCTGTGGTCGCCGCCCAGAGTGAGGAGGACGGGCTTCTTGTCCGGATTCGTCGCGGGTCGCGAAAGCAGCTCATGGTAACCGAGCGTCATCTGGTGTAGCGCCAGCTTGTTGTCGAACGGGGTGATTGGGATGTCGCCGCAGTCGAGGACCTTGGCCCAGGAGCTGTATGGGTTGATACCGGCGCGGTGATTGAAGCCCCGGAAGGACGTCTGGCGTGCCGACGCGGCGCGAATTGCTCTTGGACCAAATCTGGCACCGGGGCGGTAGCTCACGGCCGTATCGAAAGGCGCGCCAATGATGCCCACATCAAAGAGCTCGTCTGGATTGGTCAAGCATTTGACATGTTGCAAATGGGCAAACGTGGAAATGCCGGAAAACGGCCACTGCCGGCAGGTAAGTTAGTTAGCCATCTGCGCCTTTTTGTCATGGAATGGCGCGCCAAGGTCTCGTACATCTGTGTCCCATTTCTCATGCAACTTTTTCAATCTCTCAACGTCGGTGTCCGAAGATGTATCGGCGCGGTGCTCGTGTGCCTGGGCATGCCCATTGAACAGTAGCAGGACAAGCAGTATGGCTCTGAACAATCGCATGATTGCCATTCGATGTATCGCTCCAATCCACTAGGATTGGCTTGAATGATAGGTGAACAAGAGAGATAAGAGAACTAGATCGCTGGCGGAAGAAGAGCTGGTGAGAGTTAGGAGTGGGCAAGGCCGGCTTTTTCAAGTCCTGCTGGAAGACGATGTATCCACCGGGTCTCCGTAGCTAGATGTAGGCAGCGTGTTGAATCTGGGACTACTAAGGTGGTTCAATTAAAGATCTATACATCTATCATTCTCACTTTGATCCACTGAGGCCTTCAACACGTTGATTGGGTTATATGGAGTCGAAGAGCTCCGGAAATGAGGAGAAGTATCGGATTACTACAGCTACCCTTCTCTCTCTCCAAGGACGAAAGAAGAGGTATGAGCAACCTTACTTTGCGCTGGAGTTGCTGTGGTACTATTCTAATCGTCGTTGCTTGGTTCCATGAGCATATGTATACAAGCCGGCTATCCGTTCACACTTGTGTGGTCCTACTCAGAGCTCATGTCGTTCTGGAATATTTACGCAAGAGGTCCTGGAAGTACAACCATCCGATGCAAGACTATCTCAGGTTTGTGATGATGTCCGTTTCTTCCAACTATTGATATTCTATGGCCACTTTTATCTAGTCGCCGCTGCTCTCAAGAGCTGTGGTTAGAGCCTTTCCGCCTTTTCGCAAATATTCTGGTATTCCTAACGGAAAGACCAATGGCCCAGAACCATTCGACACAATGAGAAGATTAAAGACCAGCCAGTCGGATTGAGAACACCGAGCAGCCTATAGCCTCGTATCTTGCAGACGGAAATCTTCCAAAGCCTGTGCTGCACCACGCTCTCCGCTCTGGAGTGCCCCTTCCATATATCCCCGCCATTCCTCAGCCAGCTCGGTTCCGATGAAGTAAATTGCACCAAACTTCTCCTGAATCATCTCGCCATCGAGACTTGAGCCTATGACCCCGGGTGGGGTTGCGGCCACTGGGCAGCCCCAGCCGGCCCAGCGGTCCTCCACCCACTCGGAGGTGATGGTATCTAAGAGCTCCGTCTCGACTGCCGCGTGTCCTACGCCAAATAGGGAGCCCAGCTGCTTGAGCACAGTCTTTCGACGATCCTCGTCGCTCAGGCATGCCCACTTTCGCCCAGGAGCGGACGTAATGAAGCACGTCAGCGCGTAGTTGCCGGCATGGTCAACTGAAGTATCGCGACAGTGGTTCAAAGGACCTCTGAAGCTCTGTGCCAAACCACACGAGCCTTGTCGTCGCCAAAAGGGGCTCTTGAACAAGCAGATGTACTTGAGGTAGAAACCATATCTCGAAGCCGTGACATACATGTGTTTCAGCGGCGGTAGCGGTGGGCTGTATGTGATGTTCTTGTACGACGGCCCGGGGATACTGACAATGACTTTTTGCGCCTTAAAGACCTGGCCTCGGGTCGCCGTGACAGTACAAAGGTTCGACGAGTTTTGAGTCACCGTGTTGACCGCGGTGTTGAGATGAATGGTTCCGGTAGGTAGCATCTTGGAGATTCCAATGGCGATGGCCTGCGTACCCTCCTCCAGGCGGAGATATTGGGCGCCGTGTTTGCCGTCGTACCTCAAATTGATGATACCCAGCCCACCACGAGCGATCTCCAGAAAGGAGAGCGCCGAGACCTCGTTGGGATCCTGGCCGAGCGTGCCGCGGCACCAAAGCCTGGCGGTGTTGAGGGCGCGAGTCCCGGCCCCGGCATCGCGACAGAATTGCTCGAATGTGATGCCATCGAGCCGGGAGCGCTCTGGTTGACGGTATGATGCTGGGTCCAAGGACGCCGCCTCTACAACATCTCGAATTGCGGTGATGTTGTCAACTTCTGACGCTGAGAACTGCGGGCCGTCAGACGGCGGAGCTCAGGCTCCGGCGGGACAAAGAAAGGCAAGGAGGCATGTATGTACGTACGTTGGGCATGGCGCCAAAAGGGAAGAAATGGCACGTCCCGTCTTCGTCTTCGCTTGCCACCAGTCCCTGGTTCGCTTGCAAGACGGGCGTTAGGCCGAACTCTTGGCAGTATTTCCAAACACGCGCCTGGTTGCTATCATTGAGCCATGCAGCACCCATCTCCTGCACGCCCTTCCCATCCGACCGCTGCACAGATCTTGTCTTGCCCCCGACGCAGTTCCGAGCCTCGAGAACGGCAAAAGTTCGACCGCCTTCCTGTAGGTCTACGGCGGCCTGGAGGCCGCTGAGACCGGCTCCTATGATGATAACATCCAGAACATCTGCCATTGCGATTGACACAACCTTCGTATTGCTGTAGATGAGACAGGGTAGTGCGATCGAGCCACCATATACATGAACAAAGTTCAGCTAGGCCGGAGGAGTGACTTCCGAGCCGCCTGAGGGTTTCTGGTCAGAGAGAAAAGATATGTAGAAGACACCGGCCCGAAACTAGGATGCCATGTAATGCAGGGTGGAATGGGTGGTTGGCAGGGAGCTTGGCAATTTGGCAAGTCTCTCCGAACGCACTTGTCCACTCTTCTCGTTACGGCCCAGGTCTTGTAAAAGTTTGAAGATAGACTTCTCAAGAAGGCAATACAGTCCGAGGGCAATTTTACTTATCCTCCGGCCTAACGGGGATTGATGATAAGCGGGTGAAGACATTTCTACCTCGCATTCTGCGGCATCTCTTGCCCACAACAGCGCTTTTGATTCCAAGAGTAGGATCGACCTTGGAGCCCTCTTCTCTTTCACATATCCACACTTGACTATCAATCCAGCCGTTTGACCCAGACCCTTGTTGCCATGCCCTACACACTGAGCAACAGGCGTGTCCTCGTCACTGGTGGCAGCCGAGGGCTGGGGGCGCGCATATGCCAAAAGTTTGCACGAGAAGGGGCTCATGTGATGGTCAACTACGTTTCCAACGAGAATAGAGCTCGCCAGGTCGTGGACAAGGTGCAGAGTTTTGGAGTGAAGGCATTCATGGTTCAGGGAGTATTCTTCCCCCCGTTATTTCGAAAATCCTGCCCCGTATTAACCCAATTCATGCATAGGACGCGGGAAATGCCGACCACAATGCTCGCATCGTCAAGGAAACGGTGGAGAAGCTAGGCGGGCTGGATATCATTGTGGCTAACGCCGGATGGACGAGGCTCAGCGACTTTGGCGATCTGAACGCATTGAGCTTGGAAGAGTGGAACAAGGTCTTCTATTCTCTCGTCGAATCTTGTGGTCTTTCACGAAGCATCTTCACTGACAGGGTAGTAGTGTTACGCAACCAATGCTCTTTGTCATCTACAGCTCATGCAGGCCGCCGGGCCTATTTTTAACGCCAATTCAGAAGGTGGTGTGTATTTGATTACATCTTCCATAGCGGTAAGCCAAGCCTTATGCCAGCCCCCGTCGCGGTAATCTCCTATCGTCTTGCTTGGCCATTGGCTTACTTGCTTGCCCGTTCTCATCTCAGGGTTCCACGCAGAGCGGAAGTAGCATGGCGTATGCGGTCAGCAAAGCAGCGGGCCTGCATCTGATGAAATGCATCGCCGCGACGCAAGGTCCCAAACTGCGGATGAATGCCATCTTACCCGGTCAGCTCTTGACAGAATGGGTACGCATGCCCTTGAAAGGCTTTCCTGGTGCGTCTCTGGTTTCTAACCTGTTTCTTCAGGGCTTGCAATTTACGGAAGAGCAAATTGCTCAGGAGCAAAACGACTCTGTTTTGAAACACGAGGTTTGCCTTTCTTCCATCAGTACATGTTCGGACACGAGGTCTTACACACTGTGACAGACGTACCTAAGCGATTGCGCTGATGTGTACATTTGGGTTGCGAAGAACACCTCTATGACTGGTCAAGAGATAACCGTAGATGCTGGTCTTACTCTCTCATGGAGTTCTGCTATTTGACCTTGACAGGCTGGGGGGAGTTGGGGCAGAGGTTTCAGGTAGTGATCACTAGCATAACTCAATACCAAGGCAAACAAATCTCCGGTCATTGAGAATTTCCTTAACAAGCACAAATGACTATGTGCTGTAGATGAGCCGAGCTGTCCATTCCATAATACCTCAACACCAATCAGTGTATCATTTAGTGCATAGAGTTACACAATGGAGCTTTCCATTATGCCTTGTAGGCATAACCTAAGCGCATGCGTAAGGCTTCTTACTGCGACAATAGAAATACTGTAGAGACTGTCTGTTCTCTCACAGGTGCTTTTGTATTGGCGCCGCTGTAATCGTGCCAATCGCAATTTGTTTACGTAGTCTGTAAATTGGCCCTTTGTAATTGCCTCAAAAGCCACCTCCCATCAAGCTAGCGTCTCTGGAATCCTGACTGATATTCATTTGGCTAGGAGCACGTCGCCGGAGAGTCCTGCCTCTGAGAACCACCTCGCTATGAATTGCCCTACTGATGTAAAAGTAGTGGAGCACCAGTGTAAACTAAGGTACGCGGGGCTGCGCTGAAATGGCGCCCGCATAAGCAAGCAAAATGCCGCTCGATATACTGTAGACTTCAACAGGCATCACAAATTTCACCGCAGTAGGAACCGTCGCTCCATGCCTTCGGAGGCGCTTGCCATCCTCGATCCACCGATCAGATCCCCATTGACAAGCCCGACAGGGGCCCTTGGGGATGTCTACTTCACAGAGGAAATAAAGTATTTTATTCAACTAATACGCACACTAATTGTTTTCTTGAGAAAGCCCCATTTGCGAAGTTGTGAATCTTTTAAATCCATCTTTCAACCATGGGTTACAACGACTGGGATAACGATAACGAGCCGGCCGTGGACCGTGACCACGACTGGCGTGCAGTACCGGGTGATTTCGACACGATACCTGTGATCGATGTTGCCGGTATTAGAAGTGATCATTTCGATGAGAGACGCAAGATTGCTGCCCAGATTAGGGACGCTTGCGTGCGAGTCGGGTTTTTCTACATTCAAAACCATGGCATTAACGACGATGTTATTCAAGGCGTGTTCAAGGCGGCAGAGACTTTTTTCGCGCTGCCATTTGAGCAGAAAATGGAAGTATTCATCGATAATAGTCCAAATTTCCGGGGCTACACTCCCATCGGGGGTTCGGGGAAGCCTGGACCGGACGGACGAGGAAGTGAGTCTGGCCTCCCACCCCTCTGCGTCCCATCAGCATGTCGATAGGTGACCTACCCTTAGTGTCTGCATTGGCTCACTTGTGTGCATAAAGATCTGAACGAGGCGTTCGAATGGGGCCATGATTCGAAGCTGAACGATGATCCCAACGATGCTTGCGACGACCCGTATATGAAGGGCCGCAACCGATGGCCACGGGAGCCCGCTGACTTCGAGGACCAGCTATCTACTTACTATCGAGAATTGCGGGCCTTTTGCCGTCTGTTGGCCAGGTCTGTCGCGCTGTCACTAGGTCTAGACGAGGACTATTTTTCCTCCTATACATCTCACCCCGGTTGCGCCAGCGTCCTAGCCCATTACCCGCCTCAAGAACGAGGCGCCGCGGCCCGCGGTCTGGATGCCCATACCGATTCTGAATGTCAGCTCACACGCCCTCCTACATGAAGTTGTTGGAGAAGATGCGCTGACGATTGTGACATTAGTCTTCACGATTCTTGCACCAGGACCCGTCCGCGCTCTGGAGGTCGCGAATAAAGCCGGGGAGTGGATATCAGCTCCTCCTAAGCCCGGAACCTTCATAGTCAACGTCGGTGACCAGCTTCAAGCCTTCACCAACGACCTCTACATCTCGACTCGTCACCGAGTCATGAACTACACTGGACAAGAGCGATACGCCATCCCCTTCTTTTTCTCAACAAACTTTGAGACCGTCATCAAACCAATCCCGGAACTGCTTACCGGAGACCAGGTAGCCAGAAACCGGCAGGTCTCGGCTGGACAGGTGAGCTAAGCTTATCTTTATGTTTAATCGTCCTGGAAATGACGGCATATGCTTCTGGCTTTGTCATTTTCGCCATCATATGAGCGAACTGCCCCAAGTATTCTGACTGTGTGATTATTTACTTATTCTCAATCTCAGATGTATAAGGAAAACATGACCTCTCTCCACCGAATCGCGTCAGCGGTCCCAGACTTCGCCAAGTATCGTAAGGAGGAGGCAACCACGGTATAGATGAGCAGAAATGCTTTCACAGTGGCGGGTGGTTCTCTGTATGCCTCACTTGGACGTTGGAGCCAGTCTTGGCTGGGCACAGACCATTCAGCGGGGTCGAATATATAAAGTACAACTATGGAAGCTTTTGTGACCTCGAATTCCATGCTTTTCGGAAAGGTGAGGTTCTTTGCCTTGTTCATCTGACTACCCTCATGCTGCTTGGTGAAAATTGTTCTTCAGGACGATCAGTGGTCGATTTACACGAGGACCCCAGCAGAGCTTCCCATGCTAAGCACACAATGACTGCACACTTCATGATTCATGCCCCCTTCAGGCAATAATGAATTCAAAATCAGCGGAATAGTTTGTATAGTATCATGGCGCGTTCGGATTGGTAATTCTGATCATGATGCCATGGAATCCTTATCTGACGATGACGTGTCAACAGGGGCAAGCGCTGCGGCGCCGCAACATAGCCGGGTTGTTTCTTGATACCGAAATGCTACCTGAACCAAGCATGATCTGCAGGCCTTCGTCATACTACCAGAGTCAGCCCGAGATCAATCGGATCTTCCATAAGGACCCAAACCTAGGTCGGTGTATATACTAAGCTTCGTGCTCGGTGGCGTGACCGCTGCCCAACATTCAAAGGCACGTTGCACAAGGACCGCTGGCGACGAGACTCGCAGTGTCGTTTCACCTTTCTCAAATTCCGCTTCGAAAGGACGATTGAGCAACCCAACCCCTTTCATACAGGGACTGCGTGGTGTAGAGCGTAAAGGCCGGGTTCCGCCAAAGGATTTCTTGCGATCGAAGAAGAACTCCCCCATTTCTAGCCACGCTACCTAATACCTGATGCGGTTTGTCAGTCGCACTCACGCCTTCCAAATCCTGGCCGATCACAGGGGCTAGACATTCCTCGAAAGAAGATGTCGTGGCATTCGACGAGGAAATTGCGAACCAAGGGAGTAGATAAGCACGGGGTCGCATATTGAGTTCAGAACAGGCTAGGGTGAATGGAAACGATCGGAGGCGTCCCGCCTGATCGAAAACGCGTATCCCCATAATAATAATAAACAGACAGGAATATGCCAATAGGCAGACGAAGAAGAAGATTCACACTGCAGTTTACGGTTCATAGTTTTTATTTCTCCCTGTCCAAGCCTTGGCTGTCATTCAAGATTCAAGCTTCGACGCCAAACTGCAGAGCTCGCCCACGCTCCCCTGAGACTTGATTTGACTTCGACAACCCGCACAAACTACACGAGGGGTGCCCTATGGTTCTGCAATGATTACAGGGCTCTTATAAAGGCTATGTCACTAAGTTCCACTTGAAGTGGTGGATTTTCTTCTCAGATTAGCTTGCTCAATTTCATCCCTTTTTTCCAGACAGCGGTGCAACTGGGCTTTTCCCTCACCTCTGCCGGGACTTTCTTTTGTTCGGTTCTTTTCTTTGGCAAAGCTATGGAGATACCTTGCTACTTACCATGGCAGCGCTGTCATGCCAGCTTTTACTAGTCCGTTTAGCACTTGCTTCAAGATGTGTCAGGTGCATGTTCCCTGGCCTCGAGCCAGAAGGCCGAGTGAGCAGCTAGTAGACTGACCGACTAGCATAATGATATGTCTAGAATTATTGGTTAGAGAGCAGAAAGAAACTTTTCCTACTGGCTAGTGACGAATTCTTAAGGTTAAGATGAGTTTACTTACTGAAACCCGGCGCGGCACCTGAAGAGTAGAGCAAGAACCTTGAATTTATAGCTGCCTAGATCCCGAAGCGCCTCCTTCTCGCCTTGACCTACTTTGAGTCTAAATTAGCAAGGGTGGATCTTGTGTACTTTCTCAGGTATGAGCTGCACGAGTCGGCGGCATTCGTATTCATGTTCAGCGGGCTCAAACCATTAGCGGTATGCCCCACGCGCCTGAGATGGTGTTGGAGCAGGATAACGTTAAGATTGTGTAGAGCGATGTTACGCGTCTTGACCTGGGCACGTTATGTGCGCGATGGGTGAGAAAGAAGGTTCAGCTAGGAGCTGGCTTTTGGCTTGAGTGATTTGACAGGTGACGAGCAACGTCATGCGGTAAGGCAATTGTTGGAAGAAGTACGATCGCTTCATCATTGTGAATGCGAGTATCAGGGGTCTAGCACTGTCCTACTGGAGTGACAGCCGCTGGTTAGACTCATTTGGTCTGAAATTTTCCGCCATGACAGATGTAGTTTTGGGTGTGATCTTGACTTTTACCTCGCGCTTCTTCAGCAGCAGTGCTACGACTTCTATCCCACTACCTTGATCCCCCGCTGCATTTACGATTGTGTCTTCATCTAACATGCCCCTCTAGTTCCATCAGATTTTGGAGCATGTCGCTTCACTCTTGATCTGATGATACCTGTACTGCTGTGCCGCAGTTCCAACAGCGTGCGTTAACATCTACGGTCTCATTCACTCGTATAGTGATAATGGGAGCCAAGCTGAGGTGACCCGTTAAGCTTAAGTCCATCCAAGTATCGTTGACTTTGTATTCCCCCCAAAAGTCTTTTCTACACCTTTACCTAATTTAATGGAACACAGCAAAGGCTGTGTACATCTGCTAGAAACGCTTCCATTGCTTCACCATCCTGCGAGTTATGGTGTGCTAACCGCTGCGTCACGCTGAATGGCCACGCCGTTTGGTTCGGTTATACGGAAGGCTGGCTTTGTGGGCCTTTTGTTTTCCGGCGTCTTTCTCTACTCATATGATTCATCCTCAGAATAGCTCACCAATTCGTCTCTACCAGATAAATCAGCCAAACATACGAATCCACAGCACATCACACTTCCGAGCCTTCAATATGCCGCTAAACCCCACTTCGCCGCCTCCGTCGAAGGTGAGATATTTTGTACGGATAATTACGGCAGGGCTATCAACAGGCCAACTGCAATGGAAATCAGCAGACGTACCAAAGCATCTTTGGTACCAGCCCCCTTGGCATCATGTCACCCACGGCAAACTCAATATGCTCCATCTCCCTTTTTCTTTCCCCTGCATCGGTAGGGTTTTTATCCCCGTACTATACTCCACCAGCAACACCATGATTTGACCTTCTCGCTTCTGGGCCCATAGCTCACGAGTCCCTGTGAGTTGAGCAGCTCCCTCCTTCTTAGATAAAAGCTTCAGAGTTAGAGTAATTTGTATCGACTTCATTGAAGCTGATGCTACGGCTCCTACTCTCGGAGATAACACCCGAGAAGGAATCATGATTGCGTTGGTCCATACGGATTGGGAAATCTGGCCGCAGCAGAGAGTTCCAGGCTGGTCTATTTTTTCCTCTCTCTCAAATGGGAGGATCCTGAATATATTGGTCTTGTGCGCTAGAACGGGGGCGCTGCCAGCTATGGCGAGTAGGAAACTTGACATCGGGATTTTTGATTACATTCAGATATTGTCTCTCTTTCTTCGACTTGGCTCACTAGATAATCCCCCATGTTTGGTGGATCAATTGTGCTCTGGGCTCTATGCCCCTTAATTTATCGGACTCTGTCCGATTATCACTGTTTGAATTCATTGAAATACGATGGAGATTCACGATGGATTGCCCAAGTGTTCTCGGGGTCATGATCCCAATCCTTCATTTTTGGTGTCAACTTTAGCTTCGACCGAAATTCGCGCCGGCGTGACCGCATCCTTCCTTTATTGACTTCATCCAGTGTTTCTCTTCTATTCTCCCTACCGCTATCATGCGTTTCTCAGCATCTGTCATCCTTGCCACCGCTGTCGCCAGCACGACCTCTGCTCAGAAAGTTGTCGGCGCGGCTTACGGCTTTGCCACTGGCGTCACTGGAGGTGGTAGCGCCTCCGCTGCTACCCCATCCTCTGCTGAAGAGTTGGCTGAATGGCTTTCCGACAATACCGCCCGCACCATCGTCATCGACAAAGAGTACGACTTTACCGGTAAGTCGGCTTCAGGAGCTGGGTGCGACCGTAAGAGCTGCAGCTCCGCGAAAGGTGGACAATTGTTTCTTGGAGACCTGTCTTGCGGAACTAGCGACAACGTCGTCGCTACTGTCACCTACGACGTTGCTGGTACCGAGCCTCTGGTTGTCGGAAGTAACAAGAGCATCATCGGCTCCAACGGCAAGGGAGTTCTCATTGGTAAGGGACTCCGCATTCAGAAGAACGCCAAGAACGTCATCATCCAGGGTATCACTATCACCAACCTTAATCCTGGTGTTGTTTGGGGAGGTGATGCCATCGATCTTCAGGTAAGGCAGCAGCAGATTTCTCAAAATGTTCTATGTTAGTTGCTAACAGTTTGGTAGGGAGGCAATGATGGTGTCTGGATCGATCACAACAAGATCTCTCTCATCGGCCGCCAGTTCATCGTCAGCCACTACGACGGCTCCCGCGCTACTATCTCCAATAATGAGTTCGACGGTATCACCACTACCTCTGCCTCCTGCAACGGCAACCACTACTGGACCATGATGCTCAATGGTAACGGCGACCAAATGACCCTCGATCGCAACTACTTCCACGACGTGTCCGGCCGGTCTCCTAAGCTCGGCGAGAAGGGAACTTTCCAAGCGACCAATAATCTGTTTTCTGACATGAAGGGCCACGCTTTTGAACTCTACTCTGGCACCGTTTCCCTTATCGAGGGTAATGCTTTTGAGTCTGTCGATACTCCCTACGACGGCGAGTTATACTCTAACAGCTTTAACGTCCCTGACGCCTCTTCCGCCAGCTCTTGTGTCTCCTCTATCGGCCGTGCGTGCCAGGTCAACAGCCTTGATTCCTCCTGCGGTACATGGAAGTCTCTCAAGGAGACCACTGCTCTGTCTACCTTCTCTAAGCTCAAGGATTATCTCGTCAAACCAGTTGCTGCCACCGGCGTCTCCACGCTGGTCAAGGGCAGTGCTGGACCTGCCAACGTCGGCTCCTCCACAGCTGTCGCTGAAAAAGCCTCCACTGAGACTGAGACTGCGACCAAGAGCAACGCTGCTGCGGCTACCCTTGCTGCCTCCGAGACTATTACCAAAGAGACCGCCACTGAGGAGCCCGCCGCCGCGGAGTCCAGTTTGTCGACTGTTACTGCTCAGGCTTGGAGCCAGTGCGGCGGCAGCGGCTGGCGTGGTGCCACCACTTGCGCCGCCGGAACTTCCTGCGTCATCCAGAATGAGTGGTACTCTCAATGTGTCAGCTCCGCCGCCAGACGTAGCATGAAGTCTCTCCGTCGTATTTAATTCAGCGCATTCGATATGCAGCCTAAATATTCTGTTAAGCCACTTGGTCTTTTGTAGATAGGAACGAAAATTGTACATCATGTTGATCGCCATCCTCTATTCAGTGATCGGTTCGGTCACGAACATGCATCAAATTGCCTAACCTAACTCGTTTCACGTTGCCGATAACTCGTCACTTCGCTCTGCCCCATCGACTACCTATTATTGTAAGGCCAAGCACCATTTGTATGTTTTGCAGGCTTGTCATGAGAAACGCGGAGACTCACTCAGACTACCTTAGCAGAAGTCTGGCCATCTCCGCACGAGCCCACCGGCAGCAGGGCGTGAACTTTGAAGATCTCGTTGGATGAATCAACAGGAACAGAGCTTGACAGTCTGCCGGGCTTTCATTGACCAGCATGCGGTTGCACGCAGTTGAGGAGGTAGGCCAGCGAACACAGCTCTAGCATTTCAGCAACAAAGCTGATTACATGACGAAAGTGAGCTAATAGGAGACGTTTTGATCCTTCCCCGTGCCGTCCTAGCCCACCGAAGCAACGTATTGCTCCCTGCCGATCGCTGCCATGGCGGCTTCGTTCGTGGTTGTTGTGACCACGCTTTTGCCCGCATTCCTAGAGTGCCAACCCGTTGGTGACTCGGACGAGTGTTTGAAAGCTAGCAAGTACACTTCTCGAGGAGCGGTGTGGCAATCGCTAGATCCACGCAGGAATATGTAGCAGAGCGTGGCTTGGAAGCCGCTGTTGGGCGTCGCTCATTACCGCCTCGGAACCTAGATGCTTCTGGCTCTCTGCTGACAGCCACGCTGAACACTACTTGAACGTGGTCTTCCTTCCCGTGTCAAAAGGTCAGACATTTGGTGCAGACAAGGGACGGCTTGAGCAGATCATTGTCTTAGGGTACCTTACTCAGAGCGTGTCACCCGAAGCAGCGCCAACTACAAGCGCGCAACGTGGACCGGCTAGGACCGCACTTGCCAACTCGCACGATAGAGCAAATAGTCAGGGATAGCACAAGTTTTCGGAGCCCTCAGTTCCGAACTGTGTCAATTATGCGGGGTTCAAGGCATACTGCTCGCCTACCTTGCAACTTGTTTCGCCCAGCTGCAGGCCATGTCCGGTCACTGCAGAGTTGTCTGCAGCGTATCGCCCGAGAGCCACAGAAAAGGACTGGTATTTACCCACACACACGAGATGTGACTTTTTGCCGTGCCCCCTAGATGCAGCGCAGCTACGGCGCCTAAGCTCCGTGCAAGCATTGGCAGGTGCTAACACCCCTGAATTCATGACAGATATCCTTTGAGCCTTTGACCCTGACATTTTCAAACTGTGTGCTATTTACCGAGAATACTGATAATGCCGTAATTTGGTTCAGATTAAAGTGAGGCCCCTCGACGGGTGTAAGTCCGAAAACTTATGTGCCTATGGCACCATCGAAGCAGTAAGAACCTGGTATCTTCTCATATAGTGCAAAGCTTGCAGAAAAGTCATCTCATGCGAGCGAGGGGGTATATGTCTAAATTTCCTCTAAATGACTTGTGGATATCTTAACGTCAACCCTTCTTGAGAGGACAAGATGCCTTGCCAACGGATTTCGCGATGACCGCCACGAAAACTGATTTGATAGTCCGATGAATCTATTTGGGGCATCCCGTTCCGAAGCCAGTGATAGTATCACAGCAATCAGCATCCTAATGAATCCAGTAAGCGATGTCGCTAGTGAAAGATAGTTGTATGTATGTGCTTACACAAGTTGCGGAGACGGGCGTGTTGGTGCCCTGCTTCATGACATTGCTGCAGTAATTTGCCTTGTCCTTGCTACACCAGATTTCGTTGTTCCGATTCTGATTCTGGCAGGATTCGTTGCCCTTGCCCCAGCAACAGTTTTCCTTTTTGCCTTTGACGTCGCACTGTCATTCGTGAGCTGCCGTTCTACCAATTGGATAGTAATGGGACACATACAGTAGCAGCAAGAGTAGTTTGGATAGCCATGGCCGAAAGGATAGCGCTGATGGCGATGGAATACTGCATTTTGAATGATGAAGAGTCTTTTGCAATTTGTTGCCGCTGTAATGGTAGATAAGGGAAGTGGTGAAGCTTGAGTCTCAAAGGTTCGAATGGGTGAGGTATGAGCAAAGGAAGGCTTACAAGAATGAGCGATTGCCGCCACCTTTTATAATGGTCATTCGTAACAATCTAGAGGAGGCACAGCACAAATTTCCAATTCAGTAACGAAAGAAAGGTTTCCGAGTCATTAGAACCTTGGCATCGACTCCGGAAACCTTGTCCATCCGTATAGGACGTTAGATGACTCGACGAGCTAGAAATATTCTCCAAGGCAGGTAGACATTCTGCTATAGTTGTGGATACAAACAAGACTTTATCTACATCCTGAAAGCTGTTAATCCTGATCATAATTCAATGGAGAGAGACTCGGATTCGGTTCAACTAGAAAATGTCCCAGGGCAAGAATCGGCTTAATCCATAAACTTAGACTACTCCTATCCCCGTAGGTGCTCAGAGAATGGTTTACTCACAGATCCAGCTTCTGCTTGGGGAATGTCTTTTCTATTCTGGAAAGACATTTTGAAAATCATGCCCGTTGACAATCGTCTTTTTCATGGAGCAGGGCATTCGAAAGCTGATATTTCCGCTGCCATTCCTGGGCTTGTACCACGGGAGGTGGATCTTGTGGCTATGATGCAGGATCATATTTGCTTTGACCAAATATTTAGTGCCATCCTCTGTCTGCGCTTGGGTGCTCGCCAGGTTCTGCGAAAAGATCTGGAACAGATCATTAAACTTTGAAGACGACCTATCCTCATAGACTTCCCTGCTGTACATCCTTTCATACAGACCCCTTAATCTGGTGCCGTAGTTTCAGTGACGGACCGGCCTCTTTCACCCGTGGTACGTGCTGTGATGAGCATTTTCCGAACTGGAGCTGAGCCGAGACAACGAAACCTGTTGATACTGATGGACCCGAATCACAGAATGCCCGGGGAAACTTAACCCCAGAACTATGATGAATCAGAATCAAAGTCACATGACTCGCTAGGGGATATTCTTAGATGAACTGTTCTGAAAGCAATGAATCCCAACTCCCCACATAATTTACTACGAACCTCAATCTAAGAGGCTGGCGATAACCATGCTGTCTGCCGGCAACATGGCACACAGTGACTGAGCTTGTCGCATTTACCACTTGATATGCCTACCAAAAGCGTTGTTGTTCGTAGCACTTTCTGCTGCCTTGAGATACAACATTGTTTTTTACGCATCGAGCTAAGCTACCTGGGGCCCATGTGGTCATCTCTCGTTCACGACCTTGCCTCTCAATCAAAAAGGCGCAATGTTAACACACGCACAAGCAACGAAACAAGACGCGCAGGTTTGCGCCTTAGCTACCCGTTCCGAAGACATCACGGCGCATGACCATTGACCTGTGCCCAATGGCCGCCAACGCCATCTCTTAGAGTGACCCTTCGGCCTAATAGGGCAGAAAAGCTTCATAAGCCCGACAAGTGGCTTGTTGGTCATCCCAGGAGGCTCGGCATGGTAACGATCAATACCTGACACTCGGCCCATGTTGCGTAGCCTCCTTCCGACACGTACATTTGCAGCCTTTTGCCCTCCATGATCGCGAATGGGCCAGAAGGCTCAGAGATTGGACGGATAGACAGATCCAACCCCCAGCCCAGCCGGGCATCCCAACAGACATGAGCTACTATAACAGGGGTTCCGGCCGAGGATGGTCATTCTGTGCTAGTTATAGCGAGTCGTGTGTCTAGGTCTTCAGGTTTCGCAAACGAGTGCGTATTAGGGTTCAGCATTGATGGACGGCCGGTCGGCGTTTCCGAAGACGAATCAGGCCAAGCACATCATCTATTAGTTGGCCATGATTGAAGCTATACTGATTCTGGGCGTCATGTCCGACGCGCTCCAGGCGGTCATCGTTACCCTGTCCTAGTGCTGCGAAGTTGAATCCTCGTATTGTAGCGACGCGGCCCTGAGGCCTCGAGAAGAACCCTTTCTTGTTCACATTCTCGAGATTTGAGAATCCAAGAATTACCGAGACGGCGCCTTCTAACATCTAGTAATGGCTCTAATTGCCTGTTTACGCATAGCCAGTGGCATCCGGACGATCAGAGCAGAGATCCGTGCAAAGATGAAAACCATTGCCTATCACCTATTTCACAAAATTAGCCATATATTCGGGCTTATTTTAAATCTAAGAATGGCTACAAAAAAGATCTTTGCTAACGTCCTGACATAGAGTGCTAGCACCTCCAAGGAAGGCGTCCAAATTTCTGTACCTTGTATGTCAGTACTCATGAGGTTAGACTCCCATCGCAGCTTCTAGCACAACGCATAACCAGCGAATATAGCTTTCACATCATCGTACTTAAGACAGCATCGGGCAAATCGACTCCCTTGTAGAACGAATTGCTTCATTTGGTTGACCGGGTGGCTGTTACTTGAAGGATGGGTTTTCCCTATACTATTTTGTACGGCAGATCTCTTCTTTCCTCAAACACTATCCGCAATAATATAACGATCAAACTAGATTTCTATTTATTACCGTTCCGCTTCCGATCGAATTTCACGTGTTTCCTTAGATCTAGCACTTACTATCGACTACATTAACAAACTCCCCGTCTTCTAGAATCTCAACATAACTCAACCACCGCGCCTATCGCCCAAAGGATTCGTGGCAGTAGCCTGCAAAGTCTATAACCCTCTTAGCTTCTATAAGGGCTACAATATCATCCTATTCTTTGTATTCGCCGGCGTCCTGATCGGATTCACTCTTGCTCGTTTCCAGTACCTTAACTTGAACGTCTTTCATAACGGCTCTACCCCTAGAGAGTACTTTGCGTACCAGTACGGCTACCAAAAGGCTGGGCTACTCATCCATTTCGGCGCAATTTTTCCTATCGGGTTTTTAGCATATTTCCAATTTCTACCAGTTATTCAACATACAATAACCCCAGGCCATTGATTGAATAGATACATCATTTTGTTACTCTCGCTACTGGGCATTATTGGCGCCTTGATGATAGCGAGAGGCTCTTTCATAGGTGGACTTGACATTCAGGCAGCTGTCGGGCTTCTCAGCATTCATTTCATCGGGGTTCTTGTGGCCGCATACGCCAAGACCAAGAGACTCCGAATCGGCCTACACAGGGCATGGATGCTTCGAGCATGGTTCCACATCAGCTCAACATTCCACCTTACCCTCTAAAAAATTGAAAACCTCTCATTATTTTAGGTTAAAAGGCAGAATCTATCATCAAAGTCCGAATCATTATGATCTCGGCTACGGCTATCATCAGCAAAATTGGCACGTACTATGCCGCGCAACCTTACGACCAGATCCTATCCATAATCGGCGATACAAACCAGACTATCGAACTCTATCCAGACTATACGACGTACTTCCCCGGCATAAGTCCGAGTTAACAAGCCGTGATACATGCCAATTCGAAGTCTCTATCTGCTACTGAGGCTGCTGTCGCCGCGGGTACGTCGCTTAGTATGGTATTGTGACTTGCATTGGTAATCCATGTGGCTGGTGATAAGATCTTCGTAAGCCGTCGGTCACGATAATGACGATATGTCTGCGATTACTGATCTATTCATAGCTCAAGCTTACATCCGCTGAGGCTAAGAGGCTACGTAATGTTTCATTCAACAGACAAATGGAGGCAGAGATGAAGCCAACAGAAATAACACCGGCAGGGCTATCGAGTGCGAAGGCCGAACTAGCCGAAGATTCTTTATAGTAGAAGGCTCAATACGGCCCTGGTCAACGTTAGGACTTGAAGTTCTCTGTAGAGTGAGTTATCGATCAGACTTTAAGAGGGATATCAGCATCTTGAAGCAAGTGTCGTATAGTCACCATAGGAGCATCGACGTAGGTGAAAGAGGACGGTTGTCTATTGGAAGTAGGAAATAGGCACGAAGCTCGCTCTGAAATAGAGGGTGCAAGTGAGGTGAATCTCGGTGATTATGTAACCGAGGTCACGTGACGTACGGTGAGGCCTTGGAAGGTTGAAGCCATCACGACAGCAAGGAATTCGGAGCAAAATTGAACTTGAAGGTGGGTTAAGGAAGTGACCAGCTCGCTTATCATATACGATATGTAGAGACTACTACTTGAAAATCCATTTGTGACATAAGAGCATGTGGTCCGTCTCTACTCAGTGAGAAATGGGTGTCATACTATAACCACGTTCCGCGTCTCAAAGTTGATTCCCAGCTTATTGTCTCCCCAGGTAGCATAATCTATACGTAGTTTTCCAAGGCGTCGGTACGAGCCATTGCTCGTGGGTATAATGACGATACCTTCTTGATGCATGTGGAGCTTGGCCCCAGGCTTCTCGTGCATTTGGGTCATCTGAAACAGCATAAACCAGCTGAGTGTTGCATTCGACGCCTCCCTTGCGCTTTCTGTGGTATCAAACTTCATTTCGGAGACAGCTCCGGGAATACCCTTCAGGTGTAACTTCACCTTCGTCTCTGTGTGACAGTCCACAGGACCTATGGTCTTGAATAATCCTTCCATCTTTAAAGAGCCGGTAAGAACTTCGCCGTATGGGTCCTCGCCTTTTGGTGTAATTACACAATCCAGAACCCTCGAGAGGCTCGCAATCGTCACCTCAAGACCATTATCGCCCATTAAGTTGCCGAAGCTCTGCTGCGAAATTGGCCCATTGAGAGATGCCCAAGACCAAGATGGTGCTTGGTAATGCGTGGCAGCTTGATCAGGTTCAGTGCACTCCCATGACAATCCTTCAATCATCGCCTTGCGCCAAAGTCCAGCGACGTACTGATCGTTGATCTGACCTGCAATCATTCTCGCGATACCTGATATAGCGGGAAGCTTGTCCGTGCCACGGGTAAGTTTCCGTAAAGAATACTCGGTCACAAGCTCTGTCCACTCGGTAGAAGCTCGTAGGGCGCGCTCGTCTTCCTCGACGGTGTCCCAGTCTTTTCTGGCGTCGCTGTAGCGCCCTGAGAATTTCGTTCCATCTTGGCACAAAAAGTACGCGTTGCACTCAAACGACATCTGCTGTGAACCGAAATGGACAAGACGCGGCGCAAGCCAACGCTCCTGCAGAGTCCAGCCTCTCTTCGAGAGAGGCTCATCCCACACATAGTCCTCGCTACTGAGGTAGCAAGCCTGCGTGCGAGGTATTGCGCAAACATAGAGAGTGGCAGTCATACCGGCAGCAGTGGATGTACAACTTGCATAGGGGGGTGTTTCGGGCGGACCCAAGAAGCCTACACCATTATCACTTGATTTCAAGACAGAAAACACGATGTAAGCATTCGAGTAAACATCGCCCATCGTGGAAGCTTCCCTGCTCCAGTCTGCGATATCGTCTTGAACGATGCTGTGAGATGTCAGCTCATTGTGTTCTAGATAATGGCATTATTGTAGACTGAAAAGCACTGACCAGAGCGCATCAATCCAGAGGTAGCGTATTCCCAATTTGCGCGTCATGGTGACAGCATCTTGGAATGTCTGGGGCATAGTCGCAGTAATGATGCCCTCCTTGTGTTCCTCAAGGCTCGCCATGGTGGTCCTGAAATGATCTTTTCCTTGACCCCACATGTAACTCAAAGCGGCGTATTTCCCGCATGCATCCCGAGCCTCGTATAACTTGATGTAGGTTTGCTTGTCATCGATGCCCACATCGAGAACCCTCGTCGGCAAGCACCTCTCGCCTACACAGCACCTGAGTTGAATATGCTCTCGGTCGCAGTCTCTCAACCATTTCGCAACTTGGTCGGTCATTGAGTCAACTGTTGGGTTCTTCCTCAAGCACCGTCCAGTGATCGAAGCGCTCAATGGATCGCTGTCATCTGAAACGCACAGTCTGAAAGCACTGATCAGGCGGATGGAATTGTGTTCAGCGTCGAATGATATGACCAGGATGTTTTCTGTGTCCTGGGAGTATTTGACAAGTCGCATGTCCCAAACTGATCCGTCCTCAAGGTACTTGCTGATGTGTTCATCTTTCTTATCTTGCTGGCTCAATTCGGTAAACCAGCTCTTAAAGATGTGAGCGCCGTGAAGAACCGCGGCGCAGATAGCGCATTCTTTTGAGGCGTCCAACAGGTCTTCGAAAGTTCGGTGGAATTGAACGCCAAATTGTGACACCTCTTCTTCTCTCCAAGAACCCCAAAGTTGCAGCAAACTCAAGGTGGGTCGAAAAATAGATCCTTTATTCAGGATGTATTTATCTGGGTATGCAGGGATGTTGAGTAGGTCGATAGCTAAGCAGGTACTGCACAGCGACATACCAGCACCGTCCTCGGCCATTGTTGTTTGATCGAGCACAGGCCGTTGTAGCAATTGAATAGCACACGCCGAACCATGGTTCAGAGTAAGAGCGCAATATATCCTAGTAAGGAGTGAGGGGTAAACGGGGTGGTTTAACCATCATCCATCCAGCTTGCTTACTTAGGACTAGCTCCTACATTGAATCTCACCATCAGCATCCTTGCCTTCAAGCCTCCTTGATCCTTCCACTATTGACAATTATTTTGGGACGACCAAGGTAGAAACTACAAGCATTATCGGTTTCAAGCGGCCTGTTGGATTGACTACTCCAGCTGGATAAAGGGATGGCAGAAATGCATTGAACGATATGCAACGAAAAAAAAAAAAAAAAAAAGAAAACGGTGATGTTAGGTAAACACAAAATAGAGCTACGCTCGGACCAGGATAGGCAGAAAAGCCTCAATTTAGCACAATAATCACCCTTTGTTGTGTTTTGATGAATGAGCCCCAGTAGTCTTGCATTGAATCGACATTGCTGGAGTTGCGGACGGCTATCTACCCAAGGTTTTGTTATGTACAAGGTCGTGACCCAAATGGGCTTACTATTGCATTGTTCTTTCCCATTCGAACCAATTGTGTTGCGAGATAGCCCCTCATTGTTCTTCGATGGGGCTGTGCCGAATGTCAGACTTCTTCACACTGGGCAGTGTCGTAAGCATGGCACTTGATCTGGGGAGCGAATCAACAAATCACATCTAATCGTGTCCCCCGGTAACGCGAGCCAAGGCTAAATACCGCAAAGACCGCGTCTGGGGCAAGTGAAGGATGCGTAGTGGCCAGCTCTGTTTCTCTCACAATGGCAACTCAGAGATCAACAGAAACTACCACATTCAGTTACTACCCGCTCAACGAAGATCGGAACGAGATCCGGGTCCTCAACCTACAGACAATTGAACGACCACCTCTTGCCAAGCTTCGGGATGAGCCACCTGAATGGCATGGCCTTGTCCATTGTACGATTGAACACGTTTCACTCGACGCACATCTGCCAGACTATAGAGCTTGGTCGTCACAAACGCCGCAGCTGTCTCGGAGAAACAGCGATGAGCGATGGCGACGGTTCTCGAATGAGCGATATCGGTCATTGAGCCCGACAAGAGTAAGCTCACCGTTCGAGAGGCCACGTGCGCATCATCGCTATCATCGATTTTCATGGGGTGACTACGGAGCCCTGAGCTACACTTGGGGGGACCAGACTGTGAAAGTGCCGATCATCATGAATGGCCAGGTTGTGCTTGTCGGTCAAAGCTTAGAGGCAGCTCTGCGAGCCTTGTCCTCAGATCCAGATTATATTGATGGTCTGAAAGTCTGGGCCGATGCAATCTGCATCAACCAGAGGGACCTGGCCGAGCGCAATCGTCAAGTGAAGCGCATGCGTCAAATCTATGGAAGAGCGCTCATTGTCTCCATCTGGCTAGGCGACATACCCAACGACTCTATTTCCGACATGGCTCAGCTCCACGAACTGATAGTCAAGTCACAAGACAAAGCTGCAGCATCTGAGGTGTTGGAAGTAGCAATGACGGACCCAGAGAAGAAAGAAACCATACGCAGGGCCATCGATGTAGTTGTCAAGAAGACATACTGGTCTCGGATTTGGGTAATTCAGGAGAAATGCCTGGGTCCCTTCAACCCTTCTATTCTTTTCGGGACGTTCCGCATGGGCTTGGTGCCGTTTCATAACTTTCTCCAAGGTGTCACGAACATCCATGGCGCTGTAAGGGCTCGTGAGAAAGTGTGGCGAATCTTGAAGTTGGTGGAGTTAGTAAATGCGTCTCAAGAGCGTGTTCGCCGCGGTCGAGCTCAGACCAATGAAGAGCGTAGGCAAGATCAAGACGACCTTGGACTGCTCTTGATGATTGGGAGGATGGCAGGCTCACTCGACTTGAGAGATCGTCTGTACGGATTAATGGGGATGATACCGGAATATGTGGCCAAATTGATCGAGCCGGACTATACGAAGAAGGTAGAAGATGTGTTCTCGGATTTTGCCAGCGCGCTTATCACTGGCTTCGAATCTTTCGACATAGTGCTGACTGGGACGACGGAATCTACTCTGAAGCTTCCTTCCTGGGTGCCAGATTTGACATCTCCATGGGATCCTTATCTCTGGGGAACAGACTGTAATGCCAGTTGGGGACAGAAAGCCAAGTTCAGGGTGGAAAATGACGGGAAGTTTCTCACCACTAGCGGCTATCTCGTTGATGTGGTCGAAGGCTTGGCTCCTTTCTTGGGTTGGAAACACGGTGGTCTCGGTGTCTGGCAAGATGCCGTTCAGCCAGCATCTGTTAAGATGCCGAACGATCCCAAGGCGGCAATCGTACGGACCCTTCATCGAGCTGCAACCTACAATTGCGATTCAGGAACAACGATTCTCGATATTCCTTGGCTTGAGAGCCTGAGCCCCGACGACCCAGACATCCTGGCGCTGGAAAAGCGTGGATGGGGCAAAGTTCTCAAACACGCCAATCTCAACGACTTGACACAGTTTCGCAAGCAGGTCAATGACAATTTCCAACCTTGGGGTCGGCGATTCAAGTCCTTCTTCCCACGGGTGCAAGATGTTGGAGATTGCGTGGACCCTAAGCCTTTCTTGGAATCACTTGACAAGCATATTGGAATCGTATATCCGGTCTTCACCACAGTAAAGGGGCTTTTTGGCACCGCAATTCTTCAGCAAATTCGGAAGGGAGACTCGATATTTATTATACCGGGCTGCTCAGCGCCCATTGTCATGCGACAGAACAATGGCCAATGGCAAGTCATTTCACAGTGCTTTGTGGATGGCCTCATGTGTGGGGAGATGAAGACGGCAGTGGGTGTCAATGGCTGCGAACTGACAGAAATCCGAATAAGCTAGATAAGGAATGAACTTCAGATTTTATCCCAGTTCATTACGCGTATTTGGTACCTTATTCAGCTTCAATTATGGTGTCCTCCTTGCTTGAGGTGTTTGCATTCCCGAGCCGGATCTCCAGTTGAGGCCGAGGGTAAGACCTGATTGCTTTTGCTGTAGCTTCATAGAGTCTTGAGTATCAAGTCTTTCTTTCTGTGCCTTTGAACTAGCCCTTTAAGGCAAAGCACCTCTCAATATTTTCCGCATTATTTCCCCACCAGTGCGCCATTACTGCTCCGGTTGTACCAAGGAAAATGAAGATGAACAAGAGGTTAGCATTGAAGCCAGTGTCCAAAGCTGCGCCACTGATATATGCCCATTTGTTCCAGAAAGTGCGACGATAACGGTAGAGGTAGAAGTTGAAGAAGGTCCCGACAAGGAAAGTTGTAAAGGGCCCAGTGCTAAGATTTCCGTGGAAAGTTGCCGCGCTAGCAAAGAAGATCGTGGAGTTCCAAAGGTCGAAACGGGCTTTTGGAAACTTCTTGTGAAGAAGCCAGATAATGATCGGTGCTATCGCGCCAGCAGGGAAGCCGTAGAGTACAGGCTTGAAGAAGGAGGATGCGAAGAGCTTCTTTGGCCCGACAAGTGCATACTGGATACCGGCGGTATTGTAGCTCTTGAACTCTTGGCCAGTCCATTGTCCTTGAGGATCCGCGACTCGACCGCTCACGTAGTCAAATTTGGACGCAATGACCCAACGCATGACGCCGTAGTTGATAGGGAGAGCTATCATATTTGCGATGATTTGGACCCCAATCACGTCTCGTGGAGGAAGATGGAGGTAGTGCCCAATCTAGGTTTCGTGTTAGCGTCCCTTTGATCAAGTAGTTATTGAGAAGAACACTTACCTTTTGGTCTTCTAGAACAATACGAGCATCGTACCAGACGTTGCCAGAAATAATGCGATAGGCTAGCTGGCCAAGGGGATGGCGCGACGAGCCCTTCGCGTCGATCATGTCTATAGCCGCCGTCAGCCATATGTGCCTTGACACACCATGTTATAATATCCTTGGACTAACAGCCGTAGATAAGTTCATTGAAGAACCCAACCTTGATCGAATATCCAGACATCGCATAAACCAGGCTCATGGGCAGCATAGCAGCGCCGCCAAAACCCAGAGCGACGAAGTATGTCCAAGTCGGCATCCAAACAGACTTTGTGGCGACAATAACGAGCAAAATGCCAATGGGAATAATTGTCAACAAAACCCATTCCCTTATTGATGGTGTTTAGCCAAAGTTTTACTGGATATCTTGCGTGGAGAGTCCCGAGGGATATGAACTTACCAGAGAGTGAGGCTCGGATACTGTTGGATGATACGACTAAATAATTAAAGTCAGCAAATAGCTCCAAGCATCTGGACATGATTAACCAACCTCAATCTATCTTGATGATACTCTCCCTCTGCTTTTCTTGCTTTCCAGATCTTGACTACTTTGGGGCCCAGGAATAGGCCACACCAAACAAAGGAGGAAATGTACGATGCGTACCACTTTGTTGGATTAACAGTTTTGTATGCAAACAATACTCGAAAGGTCACTCACCATGAAGATTTCCCATGTGTACTGAGCCCCAGAGTATGCCAGACCAACCTCGTGGTAAGCTGTTTCATTGACATGCTGAACACCGCTCGAGTCCGTGTAGACTAGATCCTAGCTGTCAGCACTCACAACGAATCGTTCACATGACTCTCAATTGATTGCTGCCTTACTTAAAGATTCAAATGGATAAGAGGAGCCGTTCTTTTGGAACACACCATTCGACATAATGTCGTACGTAGGAGACCCCCATAAGTTGCCAAAGTAAGCAACGGGAATCAAAATCCATGTCTTGTGAATAGTAAGTACAGAACATTTCAAAGAGGCACAGAACCTACTGTGATAACAAAGCCAACGAAGATAGTCACTTGAACACTGTAAGGATAAGTAATGACGGTGGAGGTGATGTTAGACCAATTGAGCGTGATGTTGAGGAGCCCAATCCCTCCACGGCCGGCGCCGAGGAAATTGACAGTGTGATTTCGACTCGCGAACCAGCATAGAGGAGCAAGAGCAGCGACGAAAGGAAAAAGGTACTCGGGGAGAAATTGCCAGAGAAATGTGCCCAATAGAATCCACCAGAACACCTTGATGATATTGTTAACATGGTCCAGGATTGGCTGACGATTCTTTACTCACTCTCATCTGTTTCTGGGAAACGCTTTTGTGTAACTCAGACTTCCCTTGCATGCTCCTATACAATGTGACCTGTTGAAGAGACAAAGGGAAGATGAATTCGGGATCATCAATCAGAATCTTCCGAACTTTGGCTTGTCAGAGAGTATCATCAACAGCACAGGGTGATTTGGTCTTACCCATTGCGGCGAATGAAAACCCCAGTAGAGAGGCACCCTGATTGCTCTTAGTGTTCAAACTTCAAGTCATGATCGTTCAATCTCACCCATCCAAAAAAGAGTGCAACAGCTGGATTCATTGTGATGCCGTAATACAGTGCTGCATTGGTTGGCAGGTAAGCTATTCATTGATATTAGTTGGAGCTGGAGGAGGGCGCGGCGGAATTCGCCATAAGTAACGTACTTGCCCACTGGCCTTGACTGCCCGCGTTGGCAGCAATACCGATAATTGCATGTTCTTTGATGGAGAATGGCCCAGGGTTGAGGGAGAAGGAAAAGCGTCCGAGGGGCACCGTATAAGCAGGTAGAATACGTGCCAATAGCCGACCAAGCGGAGCAGAGGCTAAAATGACGAAGAATACAGGGAATGGAGCTGTTGTAGTTCGAAAACTGTTTGTTATCAGTAACACACTAGGCTGCATAACAAAGATGGGCACTTTACTATGAAAGCTGCGAAACAATACTTCCGGTTGTGCAAAAGATCGCAGAAAGAAGGATTGCGCGGAAGGTGAGCACTGGCAAAGTGGGGTCGTCTTCGAATCCGACAACGTTGCGTACAAGCTCTGGGATATTAACGAACTCTTCAGATTTGAAGTCGTACTCAGGCTCTGAGTCTTCGGTGAACCCTCTCTTGGGTCCGTCTGAGCCATCGTCGATACCTCCAAGAAATACCTTTTCCGACGTCTCGAAAACAGAATCAACAACAACCTTCGGGTTGGTTGACTCTTTTGAGTCGTTCAGAGTGGTATTATCCTTTTCGTCACGTTGTTGAGACATGGTTAGATGCTAGTATCACGGAACTCGAAATGTAAGTAGGGTTCGCAATGTGACGCTTGCGACAAGTATAAGTAAAGCGATCAAACCCCCGCCGATTGTTCACAGGGAGGGAGCAGCATGCAATTGCGGATCTTCGTGATGTGCTTGCGAACAGCGTTGTTGCGTTGCCACCTCGGTAATGCAAACCCTCTTCCAGTCGGGAATAGCTTATCGACGCCTTTTATTGGAAGTTTCCCAAGTCTTATTCGAGGTTAATCTAAATTCGGGATAGACTACACGGAGGACTAATATCCTCCAAAACTCGAAACGGTACCTTCTAGACCAGTGATTCCCTTGAGCATGCTACTTGCCACAAGGGTACAAACTAATCCCAGCAGACGTTGGAGGTGATGTTGGTTGCAGGTGGTCTAGCGTCGGCTAATACACCCTAGTGATTCTACCGACCGGCATCGGGAATAAGAGGAATGGATGAAAGATGTTGATGCTGCATGCGAGGCCTGCATTATCTGATCGCGTTATCAAGGCGCAATGCAGGTGGGGTATGTCGAGATCGACCAGTGGAAGCGGAGGAGACCCGACACCTCCTCCTCAGGTTTGATAAGAACGCATCGCAGACATATGCAGCCACTGAGAACATAACCTTGAAGACGTGGTAGCGCGGGCAGTTCTGACTTTCGAGGCAGTACGCCCGGTCTCCCGCCCTTGGCGCATGGGATAGTCTTGCTGTAGCTCTGCGGTTAGATATCTTTTCTTCATCACCTGCTGTTGGAACGACCTTTGCAACGCGAAGATAGCTTGTCAAGTGAGACCATCGGACGAGATCCGATAGCGTCTAATGCATCTTCAATGTAACGTGATCTACTGAGACGTTGCGAACAATGGCGAAGAAGATAGCTATTAGATAGCTTAATCCCACTCCTGCCTGCAAATATCTGCCGGCAGCTTGCCCCATAATCTCGTGCTTCGATATGATTGAGGGCATAGTCCTATATCAAAGCCTAAAAGTCCAGCTACAGTTGGGGAGAAGCGATGTTGTAGCCAAAAACCTGTGGTCGAGTATTGCTCCGAGATGTATAGCGACCATACCCCATTGCTCAAAATCGATAGAGGTCTGTGTAACTCAGAACTAAGTCTCTTCAAATGTTCCATCTATGGTAGCGAGGCCACGCCTCGAAGGATCATTGTCTTGCGGCAGGAATATCTCGTGCGGTGAATTAACTCACGGGATTGAATATTGTAGACCTCGAATTCTGCGTGATCGTTCACAACTAGATGGACAATGCGTAAAAGTGCCAACCTGAATCTCTTTATATGTGCTTGGGTATCTATGTTTCTAAACTTAAAGCAGCTTCTGTGCATCTACAAGTGGTTCCAGCAGATGTAACATTGAACGACATGATCAATCTAGAACATGTCTAAGACGTGTAGCCATCAGCCCTATCGACTGCGGTTGCCTGGGCCAACTTCGCGTCATCCACACTGACAGTAGGAAGGTATCCTTGAGGGTTGACACCACCTCCAGTGATGGCCAGTCCATCGGCAGTCGAGTTGACACCAATCGTAATCTATCACTTCACATTAGCACATTTTTGGACTTCACATTCATTTGGCAAGTCATCCACTCACATATCCAACGAGACCATCCTCAATGTTGTCAGTCAACTGGCTGACGCTGATGACAGCACTGTACCCGTCGGCGCTGGCATCAGAGTACAGCGAGTCCTCCTCGTTGGTAGTACGGTTCAACGTCGTAAGGTGCTCACTGTACGGGCTGACAGCATACACTTGGCTCAGGAGGTCCTCCTCAAAGAAAAGCTGCCCGATGTGCTGCACCTTGCTCGCGGAGTAGGACGTGCCGTTCGCAATGTTGGTCTGGGCAGTGACGTGAATATGAGTCGTTCTGGTGATGTAGTATCCGGGGAATTTCGTGAGGAACTCCACGACACCGTTCTGGTCGGTCGTCTGGATCCCGCGCAGGAACGTCTCGTCGTCGGTGGTGCCGTCTGTCCTTTTAGACCAGTTGTCCAGGAGCTCTGCGGTGTTGGGGTCGATTCCGGTGAAAGAGGAGTACGAGCCGGTTGCGTTGCAGTTCCAAATCGTGAGGGCTGTGCCGACGAGGGGTTCGCATGTCTCGATGTCGATCACGCCCATGTCGAGATAGAAGTCGATACCTCCCTGCGTCTCACGCAGATCGTGACGATGAATTTCTCCATCGACGCTGTCGCAAAGTCAGTCCCCGCATCAACCTCAAAATCGAACCCGTCGTAGTTGACTAACCCATAGGGTCCCCAGACGGTGTCAGGGGCCAGGACGCAAGTGTCGTTCTGGATGGTGGTGTACTGCAGCGAGTTCCGGGACATCAGGTCTCGGGTATCGACATGGCCGTTTTGAATTCGGCGGGTTTGCAGACGAGCCGCTCGCTTCGCAAACATTTCTGCCTTGCGCTTCTCAATCGCCGCGGCGCACTTGTCGGTGCTTCGGCCAATGAGCTTTGCTTCATGCTTTGCCTGTTCGGCAGTGAGCTTCTCTGGGTGAGCGAGGGTGGTCCCTGCGGCCAAGGCAAAGAGGAACAAGTCGGTGAACAGCATGTTGAAGATGAGTATAGTAAAGCGAGGGTTCTGATGAATGAGAGTCAAGTCGTGTCTAGACTGTGCGATGAGGGTGAGGTCCTAAACTCAGCATCTTCTTCCGAGGATTCCATCATCTCTTATACGACAATGCCTTCGCTCGATTATTTCCATATTCTATTGTCCATCACCACTTTTAGCATTGCTCGGGGTTCTGTAGACATCCGCTAATCAAGTTCTCCTTAATGGCTTACGTTGCAAAGGCTTTGATTGGAACGGCCCCTTGCGCTGCTGACGTCCACATCTACGTTGTCGGCCGGGAAGTGGGAGAGTTTGTGGGGTTGAGGCTCTAAAGAGGAGCATAGCGACCGCAGTCGCCACGGATGCCGAGGTCTTGGCTACGGACTACCCGCTGAATATCTAGCTTGCACTCGTACATACTATTGGCCGTAAGACAGAATGATGGGTATTGGTGTAGAGCTGGTACTCAATTTAGGGCTGAGCTCTTTAGCATGTTGGTTTTATAACGTGTATTAAGGATCTTCGCCTCCTTTCCGCGGCGGCTGTGCACCGGCATACGCGTAGAATCGCGGAATATCTCCATCTTTACCCGTTTAGGCAAGTTCTCGGCGACCACCATATCGGGTTTCGATGTAATGAACTGCAAGTCTTCTGGAACTTCGGACTTTGCCCGAGCTTGCGGAAGAAGTAATTACTAAATACTGTATTTTTCAACACAGAGGTTCTAGACCTTGGAGAACTAGGAATCGGGACGAGAGAGCAATTGTAACCCTAAAAGAACCCTTGAAACTTGATGAATTGAGAACGAGCATGGCTGGATTGGCTCTGCGCGCTATCTACCGAGATTGTTACTTGGTTATTATGCCTCACCGGGCACGAGTTTGGTTTGACCGCGTCGATTACGTTCAGAACAAACATGAATCGTCGAGCCCGAAGTCGTGGAAGCCGTCATCTTCGAAGGGGCGGGTCAGGCATCTTGATATTAAGGGAGAAGAATGCTTACGAAGAGATGGCCATGAAATGCACCCGTCAATATCACGCATGCACGATGAACTATTTTGATCCTCTGGAGTAGGTATGCTACATGGACTGCTAGTGACGTAGTGGACTACTTGTGGCGCATCACGGCTCCCACCTCCTTAACGCGTCATTTTCAGGGAGGTGGGCGTCGCGAAGTGGGATGTCGAAACGATTGACTAATACAGAGTCGACCCAGAAATGCATGAGGACTTTCACAATCAAGAAAAGAATGCCGACTCCCATCAAAAAGTCTTGAGGATGGTGGACGTCCTCTCTCGTGTTTTCTGGTCGACACACGGTCAAGAGCTCAGCGGAAAGTTACCTTCAACCCGCTGGGCCCGCTCAGACATGCAACCCCCAACAGACGAACCGTCCTAAACTGCATGTACACATTCACTCCGATCGTCAGACCTAACAAACTCAAGCACATTAAATGAATTCGGAGAAAACCTTGATCATAGACATGATGCATCACGGAAAAGAACGAGGATCATTTACCTCCCTAAAGTCGAGACTTCCTTCCCCAGATCGTTCTAGAGCCAGTGCCACCAACAAACCAGGAAATTAAGAGGGCCGTGAGAGGAAGGGTCGCCTAGGAGGCTAAGTCTGCTAAGCTTGCTAAGTGAGCGACCTGAGACACGGTAGAAGTGATCAGCTTTGGCTGGTCGCAACCTTCTTTTTAGACTTAATTTGGGTTAGTTGGGTCTGCAATTTTGTAATGAGTCGGAAATGCGACCGGCCACGTTCTTGGTGGGATAAGGTAAGCTTAAATGAATTTCCGCAAGAGAGTTTCTGCTCTGCAATTGTGATGACTTATGCACTCAGAAACCTTCTTTATTACAGATGACCAATGAATTTTGGCTGGCCTGATGTCGTGAAGATGATTCCTCTGTCTCCTCCAGCTTCAATCCACACCAGTTCCTCATCTGACCTCAATGGAACTGAAGCATCCCAATAAGGGTCCCGCCAAAGACGCTTCTCTATTTTCCCATCGGCAAACCAAAATAGCCTTGACAAGAATAATTGTAGTCCAGCCACAAAACTTCTGTCTCCTCAAAACTCAAGGTCAGTCTAACTCGACTGGATAGTAAGGCCAGACCCCGCTATGACACTTCAACTCTTGGCAGGCGACCTAAACCCAAATCAACCATCGTCAGCGTCTCTACTACGCCAAAACTGGCCTGCCTGAGCAAAGCCAAGTAGTTTCGCCGTCCCCAACGTGGGACACCAGCTCTAGGGCACTCGCTCATGATTTTGCTTATGGTAAAACCGTCACTCTTACAGTCTATCCTAAAGTAGTAAGCAGGGAACGGGGGATGAGGTGGTGCTCGACCGACGACCGCCCCATGTCGACCACGGCCTGATGTCTGTGTGTGCCCGTCGACGGCGGCAGCGCTGTGGGTTTTTGTGGGCGGCCAATCAGGTTAATGTTCTGTTTTAGAGTCCTAAAGGTAGTTCAGGTCGGTCGACGCGAGGATATCGTGATTATCTAGGTGTTAAGTAGGTCCAACTTGTATATGAAGCGTTCAAACATCCCATGTAGTGGCTGATCACACTCTCATCCTACCTACTCTGGCAACTCTGAGCAGGAGCTCCATTTCTTTTCAGACCATTTTTTTCTAACTCGTCATCCATTAGGACCAAGTCATTCGTTATTTCCTAGTATCATCTACACTCATTCACAATGCAACTCCCACCGAGAGCAGTGTCCCTCGCGGCACTTCTCCTCCCCCTCTTCGTATCAGCACAAGACGCAGACAACACCCTCAACGTCTATCAAATGCCCGCCGAAGAGCCCGCGCCCTCGGGCCAAGTCCACATGGGTTGCTACCAAGAACGCACCCGCGGCACCGCCCTCATTGCAACAGACCAGGCCGGCACCACTGACGTCTCCACCTCGCAGGGCACCCGCTCCGACAAGATGAGCCCGTCGACCTGCGCCACGTACTGCTCCCAGTTCAAGTCCAAAATGTACGGCCTCTCCCGCGGCACCGACTGCATCTGTGGCAACGCCCTGCGCGCAAACACCCAGGTGGCCCCGCTGAGCCAGTGCAACACCGCTTGCCGCGGCGACGACGGCGCTTTCTGCGGCGGCGTCAACTACGTCAACGTCTACGGCCCGGAGACGATGATGACGGCCGCGGCGTCCCCATCCAAGGCCCAGCACATTGGGTGCCAGCGCATGCCCGCGCGCGGCGACCCCTTGGTCGAGTACCCCAAGCTTCGCTCTGCGCAAATGACGGTGCAAATGTGCCAGGACCACTGCGGGCTGTACCAAAGCAAATACTTTGGTCTCGGCGGCGCCGGGCGGGATTGTTTCTGCGGCGACGTGCCGAGCGATCGCGGCAACAGTGGAAGCAGCTTTTGCAAGACGGCGTGCGCGGGTGACAAGGGCGCATTTTGCGGGGGCGGGACGGGCGCGGCCGGGTATTACAACTTGTACCAGCTTGACTTTTCCCAGTTCCAGAGCATCGGACAATGGAGTGCCCTGGTCAAGTTCCCGGTGGTACCGGTTGCCGTGGCTTTGTTGCCCAAGACCGGGGAGTTGCTGGCGTGGTCTTCTGGTTGGAGGTTAGTTTTATGTTTTCCTTTCCGTAACTGCCGAAAGTTTGATTTGTTGATCAAGGTGGACGAACTAACGACGACCAGAAACCGCTGGACCTTCCCCGGCAACGGAAAAACGTATACCTCGATTTACAACCCGTCCAGCAAGGAAGTCACTGAGGCCCTAGTCGAAAACACCCAGCATGATATGTTTTGCCCGGGTATCTCCATGGACGCTGATGGCCACATCATCGTTAGCGGAGGCTCCACTGCCGCCAAGACGAGTATCTTTGATGAAGAAACTAATTCTTGGGCTGCCACTGGCGACCTGAAGATCCCTCGTGGATACCAGTCGAGCACGCTTACTTCTGACAACAAGGTCTTCACCATCGGTGGCTCGTTCCGCGGTGGTGCTCAAGGGAAGCACGGTGAAATCTACGACACTGTAAGCAAGGAATGGAAGAAGCTCGATGGGTGCTCGGTGACGCCCATGTTGACCCAAGATACTCGTGGCTCTTTCCGGGCCGATAGCCACGCGTGGCTTCACGCGTGGAAGGATGGATATGTGTTCCAGGCCGGCCCTAGCAAGGCGATGAACTGGTACTCCACGCGGGACTCGGGAAGCGTCAAGGGTGCTGGAAACCGAGGAAGTGACAGCGATGCCATGTGCGGTGTCAATGTCATGTACGAGTAAGTGTTGTCCATCCCCCCATCGCCAAGTCTGGTCGCTGACCAAAACTCTCAGCGCTGTTGCCGGAAAGATTCTCACCGTAGGAGGTGCTCCTCGCTACGACGGCGTTGCGTCGACCGCCAACGCCCATGTCCTTACCATCGGTGAGGCTGGCGGTGCTGTTGAGATTGAGAAGCTTGAGAACGCCAAGTACAACCGCGGATTCGCCAATGGTGTCGTCCTTCCCGATGGCAAGGTCTTCATTGTTGGTGGTCAGAGCCGTACTGTACTCTTCTCGGACGCCAACCCGCAACTTTTCCCCGAAATGTGGGATCCTGCTACCAAGAAGTTCACTACGGTCAGTTCATTGCGAAAGCTTGCAAGGCTACAGTGCTGACTTCCTCCTAGCTCAAGTCACACACCACCCCCCGTAACTACCACTCGGTAGCCCTTCTTATGCCTGACGCGACCATCTTCTCTGGCGGTGGTGGTCTTTGCAACGGATGTACCGCCAACCACTTTGACGGACAGTTCTTCTCGCCGCCCTATCTCTTTGAAGCTGTAAGAAACGTTGGCCTGCACGGTGAACCACAATGCTAACTTGGCTCCAGGACGGGCAAACTCTTGCCAAGCGCCCCGTCGTTTCCGACCTCTCAATCTCCGAGTGCAAGGCCGGCGACAGCTTCACCATTACTATGAATGAGGCGGCGAACTACACCTTCTCGATGATTAGGATGGGCACTTCGACACACGCGGTCAACACCGA